TGGGGGTGGGGGCAGTACTGAAATGTGGGTGCAGCCATAGGCCTGGTGGTCCCGTGGAGGTGGGGGACACTACTTTCCTGTTAAAGGGGAACAGTCACAGAGTCCTTGGCCTTCCTTTTCCAGGGACTGAATGTTTATGGAAGGACCCTTGGTGGTGTAGTAAGTAACGTTCTGGGCAGCCAATCAAAAGGTCATCAGTTCAAATCCTTGTGGGAGGAAAAAGTTCTCCTCCCATGAAAATTTACAGCCTCAGAAACCCAATGAGCCAGAAGCAACCCAATCAATGGCGGTGGACTGTGTGTTTATGGTTTGGACAAATCGAGGCTGTCCCAAGAGGACAATCTCGCTCCCGTGGGGTCAGTGTAGAGCTGACCTCCAATGGGTGTCCAGTGGCTGCTTGTCAGAAGTGGACTCTCGGGCCTTTCTTCCACTCTGGGCGGGTTCAAACCCCCGATGTTTGAATTTAACCCTTTGATTGCCTGAGGTATCCTCTGTACATAAAGAACAACAAAAACTGCCAGTGAGCTGATTCTGATTCTTAGAGGGCCCTCAGGGCGGAGCCGAACATGGATGTCCTGAGGCCAGAGGGGCACACTGCCACATCCAGTGCCATCTAGGGCAGGCTGGTGCTCACCTCTGCACACTCTCCAGCTTTCCCAACCTCCCCTGTCCTGGGGTGTCTGAGGGGTTATCTCTGTTCTGCACCCAGTGAGCTGCCGGGGCCCAGCTTGCAGGACCACCCACACCAGCCCTTCTCAGCCACAGGCTGAGCCCTTAGCATCCCCACTAGTGCAGAGGCCACTGGCCGCCTGAAGGAAGGCGGAGGAGGGTCTTGAAAGGCACGCGGGGCCCTGGAACATTGCCTTCTCCGTGTCCACACCCTTACAACCTCATTGCTGCCACTGACCCAGTATCCAGTGGCCAAGGGATTGGAACAGCCTACGTGCGACCCTTGACGTCTCACTGCCACCATCACCCCGTCAGCGCCATGGCACACACATGCACGTATGTGGCACACTCACAGGCATGGGTGCACATGCACACACAGGGAGGGAGTTACACGAAAACAGACACACTCACTGACATGCATGTGCATACACAGATAGGTACACACAGATATGTACATGCAAACACACGTACAAATGCACACACAGGAGGAGAGAGACAAAAACAGACAGGCTCACACTCACAGGTACACAGCACAGTCCCCCACTCCCTCCTTCTGGGTCTTACTTGGTCACCTTCTTGGGTCTCAGCCTCGGCAGCTGCTGGCCTGTGTCCCCCAGGGGCTGCACCTTGCCATGGGGCACAGGGGGGCACTTGGGTGAGAGGCGGGCGAAGACGGGGGAGGTCAGACAGCCGCGCCTCAGGAATCTGCCGAAGGACAGGGCCACACGGGCCTTGGGGGGCGCCCTGGGCTGGCCGCGGGGCCAGAGGCAGCCTGAGCTCAGCTCCGAGTCCAGAGAAGCTTCACTGCTCTCGGCCCCAGAGGGCCCACGGTGGGCACCAGGCCCGCTGGCCTCGCCCTCCTGCTCCAGGCCTGCGGAGCTGCCCAGAGCCACCCTGATGGGCGAGGGGCACACGGTGCTGCTGGGCCGTCGGAAGCGGCTGGGTGAGGGGAAGGGCCTCCGTGGGGAACGGCACGATGCTGAGAAGGGGCTGGATGGCGAGGGGGGCACACAGGTCCCAGTATACACGGTCAGGTGGGGGCTGGGTGTGGGGGGCTGGCGTGGCTGTGGAAGCAAAGGAGAGCCCAGGGTGAGATGTTGGCTGGTCAACCACCATGCTGCCCCGCTCCTACCAGCTCAGACACACTGGCATGCTGCCCACCTGTGACAAAGCCCAGCCACATTGTCTCCCAGTCCTAGGTGTTGTGCCCAGGTCGGGGCACACACAGACCTTCTGCCAGGCCCGGGAGCTGCAGTGTTGCCCAGCCAAGTTCCTGGTAGCCCCTCAAGACTAATTTCTAAATGATCCACAGCCCTCACCCTATGTCACCCTATCCAAGTATCGCGAGAAGCCGAGGGGGCAGGGGAAGCCCCTCAGGCCTTGCAGACTCCCCAAAGGCTCAGCCTCCCCACCCTGGCTGGGACCTCCCCAGGTCTGCAGGCCCACGCCTTGGGGAAGGTCCACCCCACCCGTCCCCATGCCTGACGCAGGACCAAGGACGCTGAAAGAGAGGCTGGATCTTACATCTGAGTGTCAGGGAGGGGACGCCGAGGAACAGCAAGAATGAAGGGGGTTCCACGGAGAAAGGGGGGTTGTTAAACCTGCCCTGGGCTACCAGGGCCCAGGTCCTAGGGTTCTGGGCTGGGAACGGTGCACCTGGTACGCTTTCAGCTAAAGAAATTTGAGAAAGCTTTGTCCCAATGGCAGAAGGAATTGAAAAGAATCAGAATTTCCAGAGTGACTCTCTTCTCCTTGAAGAGCAGACATGCCCCAGCCAGCCCGTCCTCACCCCGTCTCCTGGAGGCGCTATGGCCACATCAAAGCCCAGTGGGAGGGAGTTGGAAGCCTAGCAGGTCCCAGGGGCTCCTGGAGAGTTGGATCAGCGCCACCTCCATGAGAGAGAACTGGAAATCACTTCAGAGAAGAGCAAACCCCTTTGAAACTGCCACCACCGCACAGAAACCTGTCCAGAGGGACCTGCCTGGCCCTGGGTTCGGGCGGCAGCCTCGGTCCTGTGCAGAAAGGCACTTACTCCTGCAGAGGAGCTGGGCACAGAGGAAGACTCTGGAGGAAGAGAACGTCTGAACTAGCAACACAGGACCCTGTTGCTCTGCCCAGGCCCCACAGCCAGCGACTGGAGTCGGGGAGCCATGGGGTCATAATAGCAATTATTTACAGTGAGATTTTAGCAACTGATCCCTTTATAGAGATGACTGTGTCCTGACGCCTCAGAGCCACCCTGTGACACAGCTATTATGATCCCATTTTACAGATAAGGACACTTAGGCTTCAAGAGGCCACAGTCAGCCTGCTAGAAATGATGTTTTCACATCAGGTTTGCTGACTCCAGAGTCTACAGGGTAACGGCTCTCTCGATTTGCCAGTGTAGCCTGCATGGACCCCAAATCAGAACCAGCGGAGTGCCTGCAACAGAGACAGATCAGGGTTCCAGACCCACTGAGAGAGGCCTTCACGGTGCAATTCAGGGAGGGCATTTCTAGTGACACCCACAGTCACCGCTGTAGTGAGTTAAGGCAGTTCTGCACTAACTTAGTTGCACAGGACAGGTTGCAGCTAGGGTAGTCGTACATCTAACTACCCACCCCTCGATCCTATAGGGGGTGTCTCCACAAAGATACGGTCTACAAGGAGTCCCCCACTGCCATCCAGCCGGAAGGAACTCCTAGCTAACCCTCCAGTGGGTTTTTAAAGACTAAATCACACCAGAGGCAATTGCTCATCTTTTTCCAGTGAAGTTGATGGTGGATTCTAATTACATGCCTTTGAGTCGGCAGCAACACTCCTTACCCCTAGGCCACCAGAGCTCCCCACAAAATGAGTAAGTTCCCCTGTGATGATACCGGGTTGGCTGGACACTGATGAAGGCTTTGAGAGACAACTGTTAGATAAAGAAAGGAAGGCCTGTGAATATTAAATCACTGTGTGCTCTGCGAATCCTTACCATCAGCCCAGTTTAGAGAGGAGCTCAAGCAGGGCTGACACCTGTCCCCTCACTGGCTGGAGCTAGTAAACAACTATAGTAGATATGATTCTAAAATGACCCCCAGAGACCCCCGACCCTGTCCGTGTGGGTGTCAATTATGAGCATGATGGGTTTATGTGGTACAGCAGAGTTGACGCTTGAAAGGAAAAATCAGAAAGAAATCCATTAAAGGGACGCTCACTCACACGGACTTGATCTGACCTCTGGAGTCTGTCCATCTGGATCTAGAGGTCAGAGACAGACGGTGGCAGAGATTGAAGGCAGGAAAGAGAGAAGTTCTCAACTACTGGCTCTGAAGACGGAGGGGGCCACCTGGCAGGGAATGTGGGCAGCTCCTGAGAGCGGAAAGTGGCCCCGGACACCAGCAGACTTGGAGGCGGGACCATCAGCTCTGAATCCATAAGGAACGGAATCCTGCCAACAATGTGAAAGAACTGGAAGGTGGGTTTCCCTCAAGATCTCCCCAGATAAAAACACCGACCATCTTGGTGGCTTCCTGAAGTGTGAGACCCTGAGCCTAGAACCCAGCTACAGCTTACCTGAGAGCTGGGAGCTAAGAAGTGGGTGCTGGGTCAAGCCACTGTGTAGTAATCTGTTTGTTATACAGCAATCTAGAACGTATACAGGGATCAAATGGGATAGGAGGAGAGGTCTGAGCAACCCCAAATCTCTTCTCTTGCTTATTCCACCGTCCCACATCACCAGCCCTTTGCTGGTGGGTTGAAATGGAACACTGGGGTGCTAGAGAGGCAGTCACAATATCAGCATTAGGGAATGATACCTGCCAGGAGAACCAGAGTCACCAAGGTGTCCCCCTTCCACAAGCTGACTGGGATCCCTCGGCTAATTAACTAGAAACCCATCCAGACAAAATCTGTGGTGAACGCCCATCAGAAACTCCACTTTACAGCTAAGGAAACAAGCATGTCTGCTCATGGAGGTAACACACCACATCCAGGATTATTGCAGAGCTGATGACTGGACACTTTCCACAAGGCAAGGCTATTGTCAATGAGTTGATTCCAACTTATAACGAGCCTACTGGCTGGAACACAACTGACCCACAGAGTTTCCAAGGCTGTAAACTTCATGGAAGCAAAATACTCCATCATTCGCCCATGGAGTGACTGGTAGATTCAAACAGCCAACCTTTTGATTAGGAGTCGAGCACTTAACCACTGTGTTCCAAGGGCTCCTTTGTCACTCCGACATGTGCTGTCAAGTCGGAACCAAGAGATAGCTGACCACCCCCACCCCCACCCCACCCCACCCCACCCCCCCGCAGTGAGTTTTCAGAGGTTGTAAATCGCAGGGGAGGAGATTGCTCATATCGAGCAGCTGGTGGATTTGAACCACGTGCCTTTGGGTTGACAGCACAGCTCCTTACCACTAGGCCACCAGAGCTCTCTTACTCCCCACACACTCAGGCCATTTCTGTGTCTGCTTTACACCCTCCACTCCCCACTCCACTCCTCTCTAGAGTCTTCTCTTTCCCAGGACCCAGGACAGGACTCATAAGGAAGCTGGCTACCACTTGGCTTCACTTACCTGGCCAGAGACAGCCCTTTCTTCTGGTCCAATAGCCCCAGACCAGTTGGCCCTGGACACTCCCACCACGCAGGATGCCTTTCCCAGCCCCTCCCACAAGTTCTGGGCATCCCACCCTCGGACCCGCCCACAGAGACCTGGGGCTCCTCCAGCCCACACCCCACTCAGCAATGGTGCGAAGCAGCTAAGCAGTGATGTGCAAGACGTGAAGAAATGACAGAGACACGGTGATGGAGGGCTTGGTTTTTCTGGTCTGCCCTTTATTGTGCAAAGGGATGATCGCATGGAATGGAGAGGGCATGTTGACATGAGATCACAACCACAGACATTCAATGGGAGGCAAAGCAAGGGTGGGGGCACCTGTGACCACCCCGGACACACGACGGTGGGGGCACCTGTGACCACCCCGGACACACGACGGTGGGGGCACCTGTGACCACCCCG